ATCTACACAAATGTTTAGAGATTGGTGAGTTAAATATAGAAGAAAAAAAGAGGCGTGATCGGCGAAATTTGTTTCAAATGTAAATTATATTATTTTCTTAATGACATTTCTGAAATGATGGAATTCAATAATGTGGCAAATAAACGAGATAAATTTGTAATGTTACTTACCTTTAGCCGGTGCAACAATGCAGGTATTCTGCCTAAGAAAATTCACCGGGTGGTTTTGTAAATACACGGCTGGATATGTTGTAAGATGCGCATCATTCAGACACAGCTATCTAGTCAATATTCCAGGCCGCAATCAATCTTTATAATGCGGAGCCTCGGATACAAGGACCCCGTGTCTTCCCGCTCAAACATCGATCGTTATTCAGGGATGAAGTTAGATGGGAGAGAGAGAGGGAGGGATGAGGGAGGGATGGGTATGTGAGGGTGAGGGGAGAGGGGAAAGGAGGGAGGAAGGGAGGGAGTTAGGGAGGGAGAGAGAGAGATATATATAGAGAGAGAGAGAGAAGGAGGGAAGGAGAAAGGGAGAGAAGAGAGAAAGAGGAGAGAGAAAAAAGAGATGGAAAGAGAGAGAGAGATAGAAAGAGAGGGAGGGAGAGAGGGATAGAAGGAGAGGGAGGGATAAAAGGAGAGGGAGGGAGGGAAAGAGGGAGAGATAGAGAGAGAGAAAGAGAGAGAGAGAGAGAGTTAGAAACGAAAAGAGAGAAAAATAAAGAAAATAAACGAGAAAAACGGGATTGGGATGGAGATGGGTTGAGTAGAAGGAAGAGGCGATCATTATTCAGGGATACATTCAGATGGGAGAGAGGGAGGATGAGGGAGGGAGGGAGAGCGATACAGAGGGAGAGAAAGAGGGAGGAAGAGAGGGAAAGAAGAGATAGAGAGAGAGAGAGAGAGAGAGAGAGAAACGAATAAAGAGAGAAATAAAGAAAAGAAACAACGAGGAAGATGGTATTGGGAAGGGGATGCGTGGCCGGGGAAGGAAGGGAGCAAGAGAGAGGGGCACAGAGAGAGAGAGAGAGAGAGAGGGGGGAGAGGGGGAGAGAGTGGAGGGGTCGTGATGGATGAAGAGGTAGGGGAAAGGAGACGAGTGTGAGAGAGATAGATAGGTGGATAGAGAGAGGGAGAGGGAGAGAGAGAGACAGACAGACATACAGACATAGAGAGAGAGAGAGAGAGCGAGAGGGGGTAGAGAATGAGAGAGGGAGAGAGAGAGAGGGGGAGAGACAAAATGAGAGAGAGAGAGAGGGGGGGGGAGAGAGAGAATGGGAGAGAGAGAAGAGGGGAAGTGCGGAAGGAGATGGGAAGGGAAAAGACAGAGAATAAGCGAGAGATGGAGGTAAACGATAGAGAGACAGAGAGATACAGAGAGAAAGAGAGAGAGAGAGAGAGAGAGAGAGAGAGAGTGGGGTGGGAAGTATGTCAAGAGATGATGAAAGGAGGGGGGGGGGGTATCACATAACTATATATGGGTCAGGAACATTAGGAAGGTAATCGAATGGCACCAAGGTAATGATAATGGAAGAAGGAAATTGAACCTTTACAAGTACAGTAAATACGTGCTTTACGAATTGCCAGTATGAAATAAGCAGGAGAGAGAAAGAAAAGAGGGACATATAGTGTGTGAAAGAGAGAGAGAGAGAGAGAGAGAGAGAGAGAGAGAGAGAGGGGGGAGGGGAGTAAGGGAGATAGGGCAGAGGAAAGAGGAGGAAGATGAAGAGAGAGGTGAAGAGCAGAGAAAGAGAGAGACAATAGCCAAGAAGATAGAAACGAGCGGAGAGAAGATAAAGAAAAAGAAATAAAAAGAGAGAGAAGAGATATCTTCTTCCTATTCTTTACTCTTCTCTTTCTCTCTGCCTCTCTCTCTCTCTTTCTCCTTCTTTTTGCTACTTTTTCTCCCCCTCCCCCACTTTCTCTCTCTCTTTTACTCTTCTCTTCTCTTTCCCCTCCCTCCTTCCCCTCAGTCTATCACAATCTCTTTTCTCTCTCTTCCTCTCTCTCCTTATTAAATTTCTTTACATGCCCCTCCACACCAACCTTTTAAGAAGGTGGTCCGGATCCATTTTGTTATGAATGATTCATCTTAAGTAAAATATTAAAACAAAAAAAAGGGCATACATGATTAAAAAGTAACTATAAATGAATAATTAAACAAATAAGTAAACATAGAAATAAAAGCACATCTTACAAATAGAAGTCTTCTAAATGGAGCTAAATCTCATAGCTCTTTATTCCCGTCTTCTATACTTTTATACATCATATATTTACATATTTGGAATATAATATACGTCTTTCGTATGTACCTTGTTTTAGTACTACTTTGTACTGTTTGATGAAATAAATAAAATCAGATAATCTCTACAATACACTATGGAATGGACAGAAAAGATAGAGAAAAGACACGCGTATATTGCACAAGTTCTAAGCATCAGGACGTCGTTTACATATGACGTGATTAATCGGTTCAATGAAACCTCAACGTGAAACTAAAGAGACCTAGGTGTAAGAGCAGTACTCGTTTCTGTATCAAATTACACACGGATAAACGGGTATCGAGGCTGAATATACTCATGAATACTGAATTTCTTTGACCTAGAAATACAGAGATATACTGAATATGGATCACCCAGCCTAGGCAGAGTACATGTTACATTCGTGTATCTTATTACATAGGTGGTATCAAGCTGAGTTTCCTGTTTTGACCGAGGTTGTTTTGCGAGGCGATTCACAGCGCCATATCTGAACGAGGCTGCCTATTTTTAATTATTTCTTACTGATGAATACAGGTATATACACTGATTTTTGACGGCAGAAAGATGGAGAAAAGGTAAATATTAACAAAATATTTCACACAGAAATACAATAATGCTTCAAGGTTCTGTTATGTAAATAAAAATAAGAATCAAAGAGTCTCTAAAATACCTTCATGGTCCATGAAGGTATTTTAGATACTCTTTGATTCATTATTTCATCGATTATCAATAGTGAAATTATGATTTAATCTAATTATTACATTTTTGTACGCCTACAAAAAAGTGAGAACTTAGAGAAACATCAATTCACCTTGTAATTTGTGACATACATGTAGTAATAAGAATTATGCCAAAAAATGTACACAACTTAATGGAGAAAAAAATGGGGAAAAAATGTAATTGATCGCCCTACATCCTGACACCCCGCTGTTTAAAGAATATGATAACATTTCTACTTTGTTCCCTATCTTACTTTTACATCAACCTCTACATTCACATGTTATTTTACCTTGTTGCCTATTTGTTTTGCAAACTAATACGAGATAAAATATTATTAACCTCAATAAATCTGTGAAACTTATAGAACTACATATACACCCTGACAAAGCTATTGCATTAAACTACAAACAACTGAAAGAACACACTAGCACAATCATGAATATAGAATTCCTATCCATTTTCATCTTACACTTAATCTTCAGTGACCCGTTTGAAATGACTTAATTTTGATGGATTCATATTTTTTCTGTAGATGCCAGCCAAAGTTTGCAAGCTCATTCGTCAATAGGTAATTAGATGCGAGAAATATAACTGAAATTCGGGACCCTATTTGATGAAACTCATTATAAGTGACAATTTACAAGAAGTGTTATAAGTGGTCAAAACCATTGCATTTGCTATAGAAAATTCACATTTTGATAAAGTGTTGTAAGCCAGGGACTTGGAAAAGCATATCCTATCAGATTGTCAGTTTGTATCAGATTTCCATGATAAAATCAACATCTAAAAAATAATATACAAGCATTAAAAACTCAATTACACAGGCATGGAATAAGAAAAGAATAAATATAGGTATAAAAGTACCCTATGAAATAAAATAGTAATCACAACAAAAGTGAAAGTCTATTATACCTCTATGGCTCTTGCACTAAGGTAGTTTAACAAAATGAAATACCACAAAAAGACGCGTCCAGAAAGCAAACTGCATCATAGTTGAAAATAATTTTATCCGTAGTTGTAAATAATTTTATCACACAGAGGTAGAATCAGATTGTTAGGATATGGAGCTGGTTAATTAATACACTATCTTGATTCTGCTTAATGATACATAAACTTAAATTCAAATACGTTTTTAAAACGTTAAAATTAACAAATATCATGAACTACTATGCATTAAGCGTTCTGAAAGCTTCATTTGGTGCCACTACATTTTGCTAGGCTAGAGTTCTTATTGTGAAAGCCATAAAGGTATGACGTTTTAAAAGCAATATCTGACAAATGATATACATGTACAAGCTTTATAAACCCCGGTATAAAGAATGAAATAAGAAAAGAATAGTTATGGATACATAAGTACCTTGTGAAATAAACTAATAATTTAGCAACAACATAAGTAAGTAAATGTCATGCCTCCTTTGTGGTCAACACTTCAGTAGGTACTACATGCATTTACAAGTATATATCATGGATTGCACAATCAAATTACATAAAATTGTTTTAAATCAATATATTTAATTCAACAATATAATTCAATATATCAGTTATATACACATACAGCATATATTTATGTATGTCTACATTTACTGTTGCAGCTTATTGGCGCATATTCACATAGGAGGATTTGTCTCCGTTTGAACTTCTGTATTTAAAGCCCCACTGCACTACGTATAGCTACATGCATGCGCCCTCTATATAGCAAACAATGCCTAATTGGTGCCTGTTGGTCTCCCATGATCCCCTTTTCCTTATGTTAATTGAGAGCTGATTTGATGAGATAACCACCTGTCAGTGACCTTTCAGGGAACTCTAATCCCCCTGGCCATACTAGTACAGACAGGCTTTAAGGTGCTGTTCATGCATTTCTTCATGTCAAATGAGTGAGCAATACATAACGGTATACCCTTATTTGAGTCAAGGGTAGAGGTTTAAAGTGATACCAATGAACTTCATTAATTAATAAATAAATATTAAATAAAATACAGAATAAATGAATAGATAAATGAATAGATAAAAACATAACAAAAGAAACGCTAAAGGAAATATTTTTGCACCACACAATACAATGTTGACTTAAAAATCATTTTTTTCAAACAATGTGGTATAAACAAAAAATTAACATTCTTTCTTTAAGAAATATGAATTTTTGGAGGACAGAAAATAAAAAACAGATTCCTCCCTTGAATGGTTTTATGCAGGCAAGCCCAATTCTGCACGTTTAGAACAACTAAATTTCATACGCTTTCACAAAATCAGATCAATTATAGCAAGCCTAATGGATCATGACAACATCATCATCATCAATCAAATTTGTATTACAATCCATAATTGAATATAAGCATTCTACAATCAACATTTCACTGTACATGTTCATGTACACAATTAATGGAAGTTCAGTAGGAATAAAATCATTCCCATTTAACAAGTCCCAATAAGTACATGGACCAAACTTTCGAAGAGAGATCTCGTAAATAGTGGGCTGCAATCTACAAGACCAGCTTTTCAGCAGCCCCCTCCATGACCAACCAGCTTTCTATGCCTATTGTACACTGTAGACCAATTACATTGTTAAGTTTCATTGCTTTACTATGTACAATGCAATCCCATGTATCTTATTACATTTTGTTGGTAATGGAAATAAACAAAATTATGAAAACATAATAAATTAATTGCCTAATACTTGTGGCTAAACATTGTAAATGAAGCAAACTTAATCAATTTTTACTCTCAAATTGGCAACTGAGACATGAAACTTGTCCATGATATGAGCTGCTTTTTTTTTTTACATGGTCAGGAAAATCTTTCCCTGAATTAAGTATTGAATTAAATTCACAAAATTGCAGCAAATATACAGTCATGTTTCCGACTCCATATTGGCAAAAATTATACTGTAGTTCATCCACAATGGCCTAGTAGATGAGCCATAATACAGCTAACTGAAAAATGTATTTGTGTTCTTGTTAGAATAGTCCTACAAGGTCTATAAGGAGCACTGCAACTGAAAAAGGGCTGTGTTCATACCCTGCTCACAAGGAGGGGATAGGATCAGTGTGAACCTACTATTCTAAAAGGCATTAAAATTTTGTGATAACACTCTGATTAAAACCGGTCTTGCGGCAATGTTGATGAATTGCACAGCAGCTAAACAAAGTAAATGAAGACTGTGTTCATACCTCTGCTCACATGGAGAAGGGAATAGGAAGAATACACTATTCTCAAACTAATCTGATTTTACAGCGAGGGTTTGTGAAGTGCAACAGCACCCAAATACAGGCTGTGTTCATACCCTGCTCTTGGGAAGGGGATAGGATCAGTGTAAACCTACTAATCTAAAAGGCATCCGATTTTCTGTGTTTACATCCATGTTAAAACCGATCTTGCGGCAATGTTGATGAATTGCACAGCTGCTAAACAAACTAAATGAAGACTGCTGTGTTCATACCTCTGCTCACAAGGAGAAGAGGGGATGGGAAGAGTGTGAATACATTATTCTACAAGGCATATTTTATTGTCTGTTCTTACTCTGCTTCAACTTCTGGTTATCAGCATGGTTGATGAAGTACACTAACACCTGAACGACAACCCTGTTCATACTCTGCTTAGAACTATTTGGTTTACTGCATGGTAAATGAACCGCATTAACTGCTGAATGAAGACTGTGTTCATACTGTGCTCAGAAGGAGGAGAGGGGAAGGGAAGAGTGTGAACGTACCGGTCTAGAAGGCATCTCTGATATTCTGGAACTGTTTAATGGCAAGATCGACAGGCAGGCAAAACTTGATGTCACTCAGCTTGTCTAAGATCTGGATCCCTCCATCAAATCCTAAAACAAAATGAATAAAGAAAGTTCTTTGTTGCGAGTTCCCATCCATTTTACATGTTTTTGCGGTAGTTTACCCCGCCATAACTGAACAAGCCTTCAGTATTAAATCAGATTCCTACATCATATACAAGATGCAGGGGTAAAGTTTACAAATAATATCTGCCATTGCATTCCGAAAAAACCCTTTTGATGCTAGGAATCTTATAACAAGAATACAGGTCAAAATTGTTGAATTGGCACAACATTTTCAATTCCAAATCACTACTATTTCACAGTTATGGAAAGATTTTTCCACTTTCAGGTTCCTTTTCTTATTCAAGGATCTATACTTCTTGTGGGAAAATGTAACAGTAAAAGAGAAGCAGAAGTGTTGTAAATTTGAAGAAGAAAAACTATTTATTTAGGCGTTGGAAAATTCAAATCCTCAAAGCAATACTTCTGCAGCAATACTTTCTTCCATGGCATACTGTACAAGGCCATCTTTATACAGAGTTTGGCCAATTTGGTTTCACTGGGTCACAACATGACATATATTCTTTTGTTTGTGTTTGCCCAACAAAGCAGTAGTCGCCATATTGTGTCAAACTCTAACCGGGTCGGCCAAACTCTGTGTAAAGATGGCTCTGGTACTGTATATTGCACAGCGCCATCTCATGGTCAATGTTTTCACAGTGCATAGAGGACTCAATGCGAGAACCAACAGCACAGCTAGGGAAGCAGTAAGATACTGGATCCCACTGCTGCAGCTGACCTGAGATGGTGCTAGAGGGGACTTAGCAAGAGCACTTCTAATATAGTATGGCTTTGACTGACTGAAAATTCAAGAACCAACAGCACAGCTAGGGAAGCAGTAAGATACTGGATCCCACTGCTGCAGCTGACCTGAGATAGTGCTAGAGGGGACTTTGCAGTAGTGCTTCTAATACAGTATGGCTTTGACTGACTGAAGATTTGAGAACCAACAGTGCAGGTAGGGAAGCAGCAAGTTGCAGCACCAGACATCTGACCTGAGATTGCGCTAGAGCGGATTTTGCAGTAGTGGTTCAAGTACAGTATACATTATAGCATTGACTGAGAAGAAGAGACTGGTGAATACCTGATCTCAGCATGTAACTCGATGACTGGTAGAAGCTATCCATCAGAGTATGTGTCCGGCACACCAGTCTGCACCAGGAGGCTAACTTCTGTTCACTGTAGAGGACAAAATATTTATCAATGTACATTTTTTTTCTTGAATGACGAGTTCAATAATATGTTTAATTATAATGCAGATGATTTGTTTTCCGTGATTCGTATCCCAGAAGCTTCATAAGAAAGTTTGACAAGATAAGAGAGTTTGATAAGAAATTGAACAAATGATAACATTTCAAGAGATTTTGAAGTATTTTATTACATCAACAATAAAGGAAAATGTCTGGGAACAGTTGAATTGCCTAAAAAGGGTGGCACAAGTCTGACAATTTTTTGACAAGCAAAATAGAAAGAAAAAAATGGTCAGAGGATTCTTTGTGTGCTGTTTCGGTTTTAATGTTTTCAGACAGGCGAAAAAGAGAAAAGATATTAGCTTTCTTCATCCTTCCCCTACCCCCTTTATTATTATTATTATTTATTTTTTTCTTTTTCTTTTTTTTTAATTAATTAATTAATTTTTATTTTTTACTTTTTTTATTTATTTATTTATTTATTTATTTATTTATTTATTTATTTATTTATTTATTTATTTATTTATTTATTTATTTATTTATTTATTTATTTATTTTTATTTATTATTATTTTTTTTTTTTTTTTGGGGGGGGGGGGGGAGGCCAGGGCATGTACCCCTCTAACACCCACTCCCCTCTGCTTGATATGCTACTATGCTGATGGGCAACTTACTTGAGTGCTTGACAGACAAAGGCCTTGAACCGAGCTTCATTACTTCTTCTGAGCGGTTGATGCGTGGCTTCGACGTGGTCAATGGCAGCAAGGAGGGTCTGCCGTGACGTGATGGCCGTCCCGCCTACGATGTCCAGATCGAAGGCTTGGGAGAGACGTCGGGCAGGGGACTCGGCAAACTGCTTCCCTTTCTGTAATGTCAATCAAAAACAATAGTTTCATTATACAGTCAAACCTGCTTTAGTGACCACCTGTCTACAAAGACCACATTTTTTGTTCCCATTGAAACATGTACAAAAGGAACCCGTCTATAAAGAACCACCTGTCTACAAAGACCACTTTTAGTGTTTCCCTTGATCGGTGGCTATCGACAGGTTTGACTGTATATCCCATTAACCAAGAATCTCATTACACAATTGGTCAACATGAGGTCACATGACCAACGATACTGAAGTTAAAAGGATGCTTTATTATGTAACTGTTAAAGCCAAGGTCATATTATGCCATATTATATGACAAAAGAACACTATATCCCACAAACGAAAAGTCTCATTACACAATCGATCAAAATGAGGTCACATGATAAAAGATAGTGAAGTCAACAGAATGTTTTATTATGTAACTAAGCCAAGATCAAATCGTGCAATCTTATAAAATATCACAATTGATCAAAAGGAGGTCACATGAAAATGGATAGTGAATTAAAAGAATGATTTATCATGTAACTATAAAGCCAAGATCATATTATGTCATATTAAGTCATATTATGCTACATCATAACAAAATATTTCAAAAACACAAGGAAGTCCTATGATGTGATACTAAAGAATAATTGTAAAAATACATGCTGAAATTTACGGACATTAACTTCTATCCCACTTTATGCCCTAGCGATTACACGTATCTTGCATCTTGTCTTGTCCTTTCTAAGTAAAGGAATACAGATAGAGATCTACTATCGATTTGTAAAGTTTTGTGCCAGTGGTTATAGAATAGTTGGTAAGGAGGTTTAAAACTGCTTTTGCTAATCTTCAATCTTCAATGTTGTATTCTAATGAAGATGCAACTCACTAATAAATAAGCAAATGAACTGTCTAAAAACATGCTTGTTTTATCTTACCTTGATTTCAAAGTATTTGCTGAAAACTTCCCACGCATGGACGTTCGGCACAGCAGACCTTTGTGGGGCAAGACAGGCTGTAATTGGTGTCATTAAAGCTTGACTGGTGCTCATCTATCAATACAAAGGAATAAATGTTAGCTCACTTTATTAAAAAGAAGTAAATATTAAGTTCTTTTTTTATCTTTAATAAACCAAAAAATGATGAAAGCAGAAATTCAGAGGTAATTCCAGACAAATCCTTGTTCATATCCCGACATGGACACCATAGTATTTAAATCCAAGCTGAAATCTCATCTTTTTTAACAATACCTGTACTTGGCACTATGACACTCACCCAAACTCTCTTATTCTTTCTGTTTTTCTTGTGCACCTCTGGATATAAAAACCATTGGGAAAACGGTTTTCGAAATTTTGAAATGAAATAATAGATATCTTGATAATCAGACAGGCGATCGGCTTGTAAATGTCATGGGATTCCTGACTGACCTAAAAGTTTATAATTTTCATTGCAGTATGAGCTAAATCCAGGATTTTGTTTCAGAATCTGAGGCAAAGATACCCAATCCCTTTAACTTTGATTGGGGGGGGGGGGGGTGGGGTGATGGAGATTAGCCACCATCAACCATCAAGTCTTGCTAAAGGACTTCAGAGTAACAGATTAAAAAAAATGTTAAATAGGGAAGAAATTGACCGAGAGTGCAGTAGTATGCAATCACAGACAATATGATACTACTCACCCTGACAAGTCCATGTTCAAACAGCGCCCTCAACGCTGGAGCAAGCTCTCTCCTGACTGCTATTGTGACTTCATCAAGAGGTCGGCTTACTGGGCTCTGTGGTAGGGTCAGACAAACAGCATAGTGGGTATTGAATTGAATTGGTTTATTAAAAATAAAATAACATGACATCCAGCTCCAAGCTCATATTGCCTCTTTTACAAAGTTATCCAATATTTGGGTAATTCCATATATTAGTATAGAACTTAGTATTGAACTTCGTATTGAACTTAGTATTGAACTTAGTATTAAACTTAGTATTGAACTTAGTATTGAACTTAGTAGTGAACTTAGTATTGAACTTAGTATTAAACTTAGTATTGAGCGTAGTATTGAACTTAGGATTGAACTTAGTATTGAGCATAGTATTAAAATAAGTTAGTATTGAGCGTAGTTTTAAACTTAGTATCTAACTTAGTATTGAGCGTAGTATTGAACTTACACTGTAGTATTGAGCATAGTATTAAAATAAGTTAGTATTGAGCATAGTTTTGAGCGAAGTATTGAACTTAGTATCGAAAATAGAATTGAGCTTAGCAAGAACACAGATAGGTTAAATGAATATGAAGAAAGGAGATATAACACCTAAAACAAAGAATTGACCTACATCTGATGAGTCGCTGTCATAGTAGTCTTTATCTAGTTCATCTTGTATCTGTTTCTTCTTGGCTAATTCAATCACTTGCTCTGTTGCTTTGTCCAATGCTTGAAGAAGGTCGCTAAAGGGAACAATAAAAGGAAAACAAAATCAGTCCTAGATCTTCAATGCTTATCACTATATTTAGTAGTATTAGAAAGTGTTCTTATTCTCTTTAAAATGATACCTTATTAATCATGACTTTTCAGTCATGGAATGTATGTTACATTAAAACATGGACCTATTACGAATGGACATTCATCGCTTTGTTAACGAATTCATTGTGATTGTCTCCGTCAATGTCGTCTCAATAACATTCCGTACATGTTTCTTCACTTTGATCTCATGAGGTCCACCGGCAATAAGCCGGGACAGAATCAAGATAGTGATTTTAAACATGTTAATATACATGCGCAGAAGATAATAAATCGCTTAAATCATGGGAAATCGATGTGCAGTTGTCGTTAATAATCAGAAATTGTTGTTCCGTGTACTGTGTTTTATTTTTGAATGACATGTTGATATTACCAGATAGGTTATATTTGGATTGTTTGTGATTAAAATTACGTTTTCCCGAATTTCCTCATAATATTCCAGAATTACAACGCACATGGCTTATAAAGATCATGGCCTTCTAATTGTTTTATAAGGTCATTGGTGCGTGCGAAAGTGTGCGAATCAGTAATAATAAATTTCATATCACCAAAATCGTCTGCTTCCCATTGGTAATTCTTTTTATTTAATATACACTCTTACAGAGCACATCATACTTGAAACAAAACCCAAGAGAGGGATACTGCTCCTTTGTCAATGACCAAAAATGCTTGAGCAGTCGTTATTGTTAAAACAGTTGAATGTTCTCATTAAGATGCATATAATCAGAAGGCGGTGGATCTCATTGGATCAAAGAAAGAATCACGTTGAATGCCCTTCCGTAATAGGTTCATGATTAAAATAAGGGGCAAGGTAAAAAGTGTAAAGTTGAAAAATGCACTGCTCTCTCTCCCTTGGCTGTGCATTCTTCTTTCGTTGAAGAGTGTATGGCTGCTTACCAGTGCATTTTGCAATTTTTCACTTTTTATGTAATGCACATTCCATCTCTGCAAAATCATAACAAATATTGTATCATTTGAAAGAGGAATACACAAACTTTCTAATGGTACTAAGCAAAGCGATGATTATCACATTCAGGGATGCCAGTTAGAATTGATCAGAGGGCCTGAAAATCACCTAAAATGAGCTATTAGGTACACACAAAAAAGCCAGGGCCTGAAATCCGGCTATTGCCTGAAAACTGGAGAGATATAATCGATCAAGTTTGAGTTTCCAAACTTTTTTAGGGAGGGGTTTTCACAACAAGGACAGAAGAAGGTATTACTCACTAATAGTCTGCTCCAATGTCATCCTTTCCTCTCCTTGTTCGTTCTTTCATCCTATCCGTCCCGCAACCCAGCTGTGATATCGTGATGTACTGCAGGACGGCAAGAGCTTTCTTCATATTTGAGATGTTTGACTCTCGAATTTTCTGCAATGGAATAAAAACCAGGTAACAAACATATTGAAACCTTGATCACAATATAAACACCATGTCGTCTTTTTGGAGATAGGAACGAGATAACTGTGTGTAAAATAATGCACTTCTGGCTCCAAACAGATGATTATTAATATTATCATCACACTACACCATATTGGTAATATAACTATTTTCATATCAAACCTCATTGTTATAATTGTGAGCTAGGTACAAGGGCATTAGCTGGGAAATTTCTCAAACATTTGACTGGTGGGAATCGAAGGGCTAATGACCTGAACATAATGTTATGGACCGGGAGATTGTGGTCTTAACCATAATTGCAAGAAACCATCTTGAAGCCACATCTTTTCAATACGTCCGTTTCTTTAACAATTTGCATATTACAATCACGCTGGATGATATAGTAAGGGTTTGGGCATCGATCCAACAAAATTTCTACTTAGTCCCACGTATGTATTTTTGTGTATGCCTGGGGTGGTATTCTGTCAACGTTTAGTTGTTATGCCTATGAAAGTACAGTGTATGTTGGTTGTTAAAACCCTCATAAATCAATACAAGTCATTGGACGATGTTTGCACAGAATTGGCTGAGTGCACATGTAGTCAAGATAAGTAGTATTATTTCATGAAATTTCAATTTCTCATGACAATAAACATACTTTCCACCAGCATAAAAGGTAACACGACTAACACCTTTTTTAGAATATACAATGTGTACATGTGAACTTGGTGGTTTTTAACTTTTGTTCATGGGCTGTATTCTAAAAAAGATGCTTTGACAACCAACATACACTGTACTTTCATAGACATAAAAGATACATGTAACATTTTACAGATTACCACCCAAGGCATACCAAAATTTACATACATGTATGTACATGTAGGACTAGATGCAAACATTTTGTTAGATCGACATTTACATGTACATGTACGTGCGATGCTGCTATACGGTAGTACATTTAAATCTTCAAGCTCAATGATTTAATGATAAAAATAATCCCAAACCATAAAATATTTCCATCGATAGTTATAAATTCATCTTGATGATAACAAATATATTTAAAACAAAACAAATTCTTACTGTTTCAGGCATTTCCCGATGGCCCCCGCCACTTGAAAAATACATCCATATGGAATGGAATCGCAATATTAATGACGATAGGGATTTGCATGCAAATATTTCATATGTATACAATGCAAGAAGATCAACACTGGATAAACATACAAACAGGAGTGCATGTTAAATATCAAAGGTCATCGCAGGGAGGAGAGTTATTTGGGGTCACAGAATATCATAAAAGTAGTACCCTTATGCTTTGTACAAACTGAGCCACATAAACTGCCTCACCATATTATTCACTTACAACTGAAGTGAAGAGTACATGTACAATTGTACATGTAACTCTGTTGAGTACATTAATTTCATGTGGTTGTAAGCATGATTATGATGGACACTTACTATACAAATCATTAACTCTTCATGTGATTTCATAGAACTGAAGAAAAAGAATCAGCACTGGATTGTATTTAAAATTTACCTTACTGATGATTCAAGAACAACCCCCCCCCCCCCCTCTTTCGGAAAATTACCCCCTAGCCACTAAATCCCCCCCCCCCCCCCCCCTCTCCTCCAGGACATTTACCCCTCAGACAACTAGCCCCAAAAAGTTATTATCCTGTGGGTACTTGTCAGGATTGCTTACTGGTTTATCAAAGTCACCACACCTTACTATATTTCTGTTATCGAAAGTCAAGTGTCCGAAAGAACTACAAATTAATAGAATTTTTTATTTCTATCATAAATTCCAGGATTGTACAGAAAGCAGTGATTTTCTTCAAATTGACCTCATTCACTTAACCCCTTTCATTTCAAGAGGCGGCCATACGGTTATGTTTACTGTGAGTTCAAACAGAGAAGTTTACTTAACAGAGTTGACTGTATTTGACTGCAGTCTCAGACCACACACACACACACAGGCCTGTAATGGCAGGTATCAGAATTACAGCAATCAGAGTATTTATATTGTGATACAAGGGTGTATGATGAACATATTTGAGCCTCTATATAAAGGCCACCCTTTCTTTAGCGGTCACCTATATTGCTTCCCTATAGGAAAGAAAACATGTGTTGAAGAACCTGTCTAGAAAAGCCACCTGTTTACAATGGCTACTTTTTGTATTTCCCTTGGGTGACCTTAATAGACAGGTGAGACTGTATTACTATCTAGAGGGAGACATATAGGAGTCCAATACAAAGAGATGTCCTTTCTAGAGAGGTGGTCACAAAGAAAGATTGGGTAGTACAGGCCCCCATTTCACAAAACTTGTCATCAGTGACAAATGACAGTTTTTGTTATAAACTAGTGAAATCCTTGCTTCTGATTGGTTATCAGCAGATTTGTCACTGATTTTTGTCAACTTGTCATTGAAAAAAGTTTTTTTGAAACGGGCCCCAGGAGCATCAGAGCACACATGAAAATATATACCTTAAGTTCTTGAGAGTCAGTATGGATTAAGAGGATTAATCCTACACTAAACAGGGACTATGGATACCTAGACGCAAGACGCAAGATACGCAAGACACCGGGCAGCACTGAGAAAACGTGTGACTGATCACATGGCTTGAGAAAGTCCACAGGAGTGGACGAAAGCTTGCCCACAAAATTCAAGGGTGGTAGCAGCCTAAAAAAATTACATTATATGATTATCCCCAACCGATGAAAGTTTTCTGTACCTTGAGTTCTTCTTTGGTCTTTCCTCTGGCTTTCTTTCTAGGTTTCATCCCGCCTGGATGGGTGCAGCATTGGGTGTCTGAGCCCCCATCTGAAACGGCATCAATATCCCTCGAGGGTGGGGCCTGGCAAGAAAAAAGTATGGGTTTTATATTGTTTGAGACCTCTTTTCGTGACCAGAAATATTTTTAATATTTAAAGGTTGCTCTGAAAAAGCACTATTTGGGAGTCCTATTTGAGAGTTGAAAATTTTGTTTGATAATTTTTTTTTATCAGAATTGCAAAATGGATAAATTTTGATTTTTTTTTAAATCTAAGAAAGCTTTATAATTTTATTTTTTTAAACAATATTAATAAAATGATAGGATGCAGGATATGGAACAAATATACCTGCCTTCTTTTTGAGGTACAAGTTAAAACTGTGGGCCTTTGTGTCTTAAATACTATTACTGGAGTCCCCTCTTCCATAGTTTCAACCAAAACCTCTCAAGACAGTGTATATTTTCCAAAGACACAAAGCTGCATATGAGAATCTCCTGGATCCGTATTGACTTTGTCCTGTCGTTCGTGGGTTCGGGGTTTGTGTTTATGCCTAGGTCAAAGTTGTTCAAGCCTGTCTGCACTAGTTTGGCCAGGAGGGATTAGACCTCCCTGCGTGTTCACTGACAGGTGGTAATCTCATCATATCAGCTCTAAATTGGCATAAGAAAATGGGGATCATGGGAGACCAACGGGTACCTCTTAGGCATTGCTTACTTTATCAATTCTCTGAAAACATATCTCTTCACCACTTCATAAATAATCAGAATCATAAACTCAGTGCATTTTCTTTTCTTTTCTTAAAGTGCATAGAGACATGCAATTTTTCCTATGTGTTCTGCACTATATAAAAAGGTTTAATTATTATTATTATTAATATTATAGAGGGTGTAAGTAGCTACAAGTAGTGCAGTCCCGCTATAAAGTTATTACTTGGAATAAAGATGGTCCTCTCACTTACAAGTTTATGGACTTCACATTCACACGGTTCCTCGTTTGCTGAAAGGACAAGAGGAGATTGAGCCTCGTCTTGTAAGTAGACGACAAACCGCTCCAGATCTACAATCTGGTTCTTGAGCTGGTGTATCACCTGTTCTTTGACTTTAGCCGGGTTCACAATCTGGAATGAAGAGAGGAGAAATGAGATTTACCATTCTTTTTTATTCTAACCATTTTTGGGTTTTGGTCCATTTTTATCATGTTATTATCGTGATCAGCCTTATCATCATCATTGCCATCACCAAGGCCAACAACAAGATCATCCTCATCATCAATAATCATCATAACCAGAATATTTTTAGACAGCACCACCAAAATACCCATTACCGTCACTAAAAAATACAGCCTCCATCATAACCAGTCATCACAACCGCCACTGTATCCACCACCACCACCATCACCACCACTACATCTAAACATTATTAACACTACTACATCACCACTACCACCATCACCACCACCACCACTACCACCACCACCACCACCACCACCACCACCACCACCACCACCACCATCACCACTACCATTAACACCAACACCAACACTGCTTCATCACCAACACCAACACTGCTTCATCACCACCACCACCACCACTCACACTGCTACATCACAACTACCATCACCAAAACCACCATCATCACCACCATCACTATCTTAGATTATCACTATCATCCTCTACAGTATCTTTATCATCTCCATCAAGTCCCAACTTACGATGGGGTTGAGTTGATCTGTTGATAGCTTCTCAAAGTCTACTAGATTGAGGTCAAATTTGCTCTAGAGCTGTTCATAGATTGTATCATCACCACTACCATCACCACCATGATCAGCAGCACAAACACCACCACCATCATCACAAGTACTTCATCATCAGCACCACCATCACCACCATCACCACCACCATCATCATCATCATCACTACCACCACCACCATCACCACCATCATCAACACTACCACCATCATCACTAAAACCATCATCATCAACACCATCATCATCACTATCACCATCACCACCATCATCATCACTACCACCACCACTACCACCACCACTACCACCATCATCATCACTACCACCACCACTACCACCACCACCAACAACACCTACATAACCACCAGCAGCACTATCATCCTCTTTCCTCATCATTTCCATCAAGGCCCAAATTACCCTTCCAATGGCGCAGTCAACCCTCTGTTTGAGCTCATCCGTTGAAAGCTTCTCAAAGTCTTCCAGATTGAGGTCTAGCTTGTTCTTGAGCTGGTCAATGATGGTTTCCTGTTTTTCCAACACCTTTGTGTGTGGCAGGTCACCTGTACCCTCCTGAGAATAGCAATAAATGAAGAGTTTACTTTCAAATGGAGCTTAAAAGTAAAGACCAGTTTTGGAAATGCCCCCCCCCCCCTCAAAAAATGAAATGGAAGCTCTTATTACCAATCATGTGAAAGAATATGTTTTGACTAAATACGTGATGATACAAATTTTGCAGAGAAACCGCCTACTAATTGATATATTTGGTAAATTATTACATGTATATCTATTTGGACCTGATGGATATCCTGGACATGCCGTGTAGTCTCATATACATCTTTCTGTGTACAGTGCTTGTAACTTTACCAAGACAGGGCCAAATTTCTTATCATTTTGATGATTCCAGAACCTTGCAGTACACACCAATACTTATATGCTAGATGATCAACCTTTTCTGATCGATTCCACAACGTTTCTTTCACAATGCAATCACATGACCAGAACTGGTCATCCATCTGTAATCCATCTGTAATCCATTTTTGTAAAATTAGAAGAAAAAAGAAATTGTTTACCAGATTTTGTACAGGTGTCTATGGAAAAGTGATATTATTTATATATTATTTTGTCATAATTGCTCCAAAAATTTAGGTAAATGATTTAGTTAAAAGATGGGTACTTAAGTGAACAATGTTCTGATATCAATAAATCAATTTTCATCAAAAGTGGATATAGCTCCTATTTAAGCTCATCATATATGGAGAAGAGAAATAGTAAAAAAAGGAATTGATAGTACAAAATTATAGGGAAATAAAAACAGGGTTTGATGAATAAAAAACAAATAGAGAGAATTAGATAATAAAAGAGAAAATTGAAAGAAGTAGGTCAGGAAAGTATTGAGGATTTTTGGTTGTTAGGGGAAGTCAATCTTATTTATAATGTCGGTATTTTTTTTTAAATACAGAATGTGAGGAAATTTTAGTTGTCTTAAAGGGGCAGTCTAACCTGATATCAATTACATTTTTGATGAAAAGAGAAATTGAGAAGAATAAACAATGCTAGAGGGTAAACATTGAGCAAGAGAGCAATTTTTGAATTCTTCAATTTACCATTAAAGGCATTGTTTAACAATGTTTCCAGGTTAACAGATCTGAGATGGATGGCCCTACGTGTTATCAGTGTCTGTGATATGGTGTAATATTGGAGCCCTAAAAACATATTGCGCTTTCAAATGATTATAAAGTGCCTCAAAAAAGGAAAAGTGTTTGAGTGACCGATTTAACCATACTCATTTTCCCCGATAGACTGAAGTGTTATAAAAAAAAACGCTAGGAAAACGTTTTTTTGACATTTTTAAAGCAGAAATGCCCACCTCATATGCAAATGTCTCAATATCTTCCAGTTGGTTCTTGAGTTGGCTGATGAGCTCCGCTTGCTTCTCTCTCTGCTCTGTGATTTTACTCTCGTGCTCTCGTTCACACTGCAAGAAAACGTTAAAAAAACGTAATAAATTGAAATAACTGGGAATTTACAAAAGAGGAAAACGCGATGGCTCACTGGTAGAGCAGCGGTCTAGTAACCGGGAGGTCCTGGGTTCACACTGTAAGAAAACATAGTAAATAGGAATAAATGGGAATTTACAAAAGAGGAAACGCGATGGCTCACTGGTAAAGCAGTGGCCTCGTAAACGGGAGGTCCTGGGTTCACACGGTTTAAAAAATGTAATAAATTGGAATAACTGGGAATTTACAGAAGAGGAAAACGTGATGGTTCAGTGGTAGAGCAGCGGTCTCGTAAACGGGACGTCCTGGGTTGACACTTAAAGAAAACGTAATAAATTGGAATAACTGGGAATTTACAAAAGAGGAGACGCCATGGCTCAGTGGTAGAGCAGTGGTCTCCTAAAAAAAGGTACTAGATTCAAAACCAAGTTAATGTGCTAGTGCACTCTCGTAAGGCATTAATGCTCATTACGAAGTAAATTGTTTGTTGGCAAGCATGAAACTTGTTACATTATAATTATCATAGTAACCATGGCAACTGAATACTTACGTCATCTTCTAGCGTGTTAGCATCCTGGGACTTGGATCCTCTCACGTCGGGGCAGCCTTTGAAAGCAAACTCCTCCAACTCCTTCAGTAAACTCTAAAGTCAAAGGTTAGGTGAGAGATAATTTAAGGTCAAAGGTCAGTTTGAATATATACAGTTCACCTGTCTATCAAAGTAGTCACCCAAAGAAAATTCACAACGGGTAATTATGGACAAATTATATTTTGATGGAAAGATTTTCTCTTGAAAAACATGACTAATTTGCTGGAAAATTATATAGATATCATGGAAAGGCGTAAAATGCAATTGTGTGGCTAGATGTGTCTCGCATGTGACATCACGAATCTTGAAAATCTGTATTTCAAAATTAATTTTGTTAGAGATATGATTTACTGCGGGCCCAAAACATATTTTGAAGAGGGACGTTGTTTTTGATCAGGAAGGCTTCCCCTTTGCAATGATATGAATTTTGCATCAGTTCAAAAACACTTTTTTCCAAGAACGTCATCAAAGTGATTATTTAAAGGCACACTGGCCTACTTGTAGCTACTTGCTCTCTCTATATAGAAAACTTCCCAAAATCGGTGCCTGTTTGTCCCCCATGATCCTCTTTTTCTTATGTTAAATGAGAGCTGAGTTGATGAGATAGCCACCTGACAGTGACCTTCCTGGGTGGTCTAATCCCTTCCAGCCAAACTAGTACAGATGAGCTTTGAAGAATAATACTACTCGAGATTTGATGCACGTGCATCATGTACTTGCCTCTTTCTCTCCACCCGGGGCTGTGACGACCTGTTTGAGCCTAAACTGAACTTGGGCAAAGTGGGACGTGAGAGCGAGAAGAGACGAATTCAACTGCTCCTGTTCCTCTTCAAGGTTTCTCAGCTGGTCTGCCATGTTTACATGACTGCAAATAACAAACAAAATGTGTTTTTTTATAAAGATAATTTCATGATATTTTCAACGATTTATGTTGCATAACAAAAATAAATCAAATTGACTTCCAGTTGATTACTCGGTTGATCTGCCATGTTAACATTTAATTGCAAATAACGGACAATAGATTTTTTCTTTTCTTTACACTATAAATGTATCATGTAGATTTGTAATATTTTCAATTATCCATGCATAACAATTCAAACAAATCACATTGATTTCCATGTTACTTGAAAAAATGTTCAAAAATGTTCAAAAATGTAAAACTAATATTACATGTATCAGAGGAGCAATGTACACAGTATGTAAACTTAAAGAGATATACATTTCAGAAGGAGAGACAGGGATTAAAAGATGTTTACTTGACTGCAAAATGCAAATACCAGACAAAAGATTTTTTTTTTAAGTAGAGGTTCATTGTATTTTCAATGATCCATGATGCACAACAAAAACAAATCAAATTGACTTCTACCTTACCAAAGTCGTTGACCAAAAAATGTAAACAAACTAACAGTATAAGAGGAGCAATGAACATGTACTGTAAACATAAAGAGAGGATCACAGAAGGAGAGACAGAGAATAAAAGATGTTTACATGACTTCAAATAACAGACAAAATACCCCAAAAATTAGATTCATTATATTTTAAATGATCCATAATGCATAACAAAAACCAATCAAATTGATTTCCTCGTTACCAAAGTCTTTGAAAAAAAAATGTAAACAAACTTTAACTAATAGTACAAGAGGAGCAATGTATTACATGTACATACATGTACATGTACATACATGTACATGTACATGTATACAGAGGATCGCTGATGGAGAGACATAGAGTAAGAGATATTTACAAGACTGCAAATAATAGACAAAAGATTGTTTTTTTAATTACAGATTCCTTATATTTTCAATGATCCATGATGCATTATAACAAAAACAAGGATCACAGAAGGAGAGAAGGAGAGTAAGAGAAGGGAAGCAAAAAGGAAGCATGGCGGGCGGGTAGGATGAAAGTAGCACACAAGAGAATTGGCAACCGAAAGAAAAACTCACAAGCTGATAATAGCTGATAATCGATCAAATTACGAAAAATATTGATGTTTGCGGTCAATGGGAAAGGAAAAAGGAAAGTGACAGAAGATAATCTAAAATCACAATCATAAAGAGGTTGAAATTCTTCTAAACAAAGAAGAAGGCAAAAAATATACCGGTATAGGCCTACCTTTGTTCTCCCATGATGGTTGGTGGTGAGGGGGCGACGGCGCCGACGGGGGCCCATCTCTCTCCTTTCGGACGCTCCCCGTCAAAGTTCTCCATGGAATCATCGGTGAGCACGGAGTCATCCATCCCCAGTCAGGACAAGAGATCAAAGGTCGAAGGCCAAGTGACAAAGGTCAGGAAAAGGAGGTTCCAGGATTGCTACAGAACAGAAACAGATTGATATCATGATAAGAAATAAATGACATTGATAACAAAAATGATATTGAATTCACCATTGTTCAATGCTGTATTAAACAAGGGCCATGGGTGTATACTTAGTGGCACGCGACTTAATTTGAGTGAACAGTAACGAGAGTTAAATCACTGCTTATTTCACAAAACGTTTATCTTCATCACCTTGAAGCAGCACTTACACTGGAAGAAGAAACTGTCAATTTGGCATTACCGTATTTGCCGGCGTAAAGTCCGCAGTATTTTTGGAAGAGAAAATATCAAAAAGTTGGGGTGCGGCCTTTGTGGCGAAAGAGTAAAAAAAAAAAAATGCAAGTCAAAACCATGAAAAGACAGCACAAATTTGTAAATATGAGACTACAATACCATACCACTATGGTACAGGACATTTCCACACAACTTACCAACAATTTTATCTTGCATTGTTGACATGAAGACGAAAATTAACTTCCTAAAACAACATTTTCCGATAGATCTTGATCTAAGTTCGTGCCAATGCATTGCAAAAGTAAAAGAAGGGACCGTTTACTTACGGAGCTGCCGCGAACGCAATAGCACATCCAGCACAGCCGAAGTCGCCATTTTGTATCCATTTCATGCAATTTTGTATTACACCATACATTGTGGTACTACACTGGTAGGCGTTTTAATCGGACACCAAATTTGCCTGCGATAATTTTTTTCAGCTAAATTTCCGGTAATTTATAAGAATATTAATGGATTTGGTATCAGTCTGTAAAAAAAATAGTGTTCTACGAGGAAATTACGATTATTTTGTCATTTGTTTTGTCCGTTTATTTTTTCTTCTTCCCTCTTTGAAATATTCAAAGTTGGGGGTGCGGCCTACATGTATGGATGCAGCGCTGCGGCCTTATCCCCGGCAAATATGGTAGACCTAGTCTAGTCAAGTTCACCAACATCCCATTGAAAAACGTGTTGAATTTAACACACATGTTTCAATGGGATGTTAGCAAACTTGTACTAATGACTTAGACCCTATGATTAATAACAATGATTTTTAAAATGCTGCCCAACAAAAATGATTGACTGATTGAGTGACATTGTCATTGACATTCTTTGTAATTGTATTGTTATTAACACTGTGACTGTGACTGTGTCAATAACACTCGATTAACAGTTTGTCAGTGACAGCCTGCGCCCAGGCAATAGACAATAATCATTCCGATAAGCTTAAATGAATATAACAGACAATTCTGGTTTAATTTCAATTGAAATCTTCGGTCCGAAGAGATCTGATGATGATCCTGAGTTTCGAAGCCCCGCGGCCCTGCCATCCACGAAGCACGCAGCAGACCTTCGACGTCTACATACCCACAACTTCAGGGGCCGATTTCCCGATAGCTGATAGGCACTGATCTGTGCTAGATTATGGCGAAACGTTCGGACAACCCACACAGCTCAGCAACACACAACTCACTGAACAAGTCAACACGTAGCACACTTAATATCTTCATTAGAATTAGCAACGACCGAAAAATTATTCTTACGATGATTTTAAAGAATTGAATGCATCTTCTCCTTCACGACTAAGAAATCAATGGTCTTAAAATGTGATCCAACAGCGGCAAAACCAGGAAAATATGGCTCGAAATCCTCACTCGGATTCCTTTCGATATAGCCTACGTACGTACGTAAACATATGGTACGCGTAAAGAGAATAACCTCGCTCCCGTAAATATGTTGGATGTAGTTGTTCGCTTTTTATGGAAACGAGGTAGGCCAGGAGGGGTGGGAACTCATTCTCAAAAGTAAAGGGGATAGGCCTACATCATTTTGTTCAGCTTTAATCGGGATGCCTATATTTTTATATAAAAATAGGCCTACTGGACCTTTATGATGGTGGTGGTGGTGGTGGGGGGGGAGGGGTGGATTGTGTTTCGCTGAACAAAATATAGCCATCATTAAATGCATCAATAACCATCAATAATGGAGAAACTGAAAGAGTTTGTTAAGTTCTATACGATAAACAACTTTTCCTACAACTCTTTTTTTTTAGCTAAGTTTACCCCCATAAAGGAAAAAAAAGTTGTTGAAAGTATTGGATATATGCTCAGGATCTTCGACAATATCATCATTATACTTTTGTTTTGCTTAATCCTAGTTTAGTTAAAATATTTGTATAACTGGTGAATAATTATATATCTCGCCTTTGCTTGTTCAGTGCCTTTCATTTCAGACTCGGTGATTTGATGTAGCTAGTATATAGTTCCTTTGTCTTTAACTTTAGGACTGTGAATATCTAATTGATTATGAAATATGTTAAGGATGGACAGATAGATTTACGTCATTATCGCAAATAACCAATCAGCATATAAAGAAGCGCCAAGACTGGCAATGTTTTCATGGCTAGGGATGCGTCCTGATGGCCTTTGAAGACTCGGATGACGGCTTAAAGGCCCACTGCACTACTGGTAGTTACTTGCGCCCTCTATATAACAAACAATGCCGAATCGGTGACCATTGGTCCCCCATGATCCTCTTTTTCTTATGTTAACTGAGAGCTGAGTTGATGAGATAACCACGTACCTATCTAGTGACCTTGCAGAGCGGTCTAATCCCTCCTGTAAACTACGGCAGATAAGCTTTAAAGGTACTATGTCCTTTTTGCAGCCAACCTCAAATTCTGTAAAACTTTGCAGAAAGTATGAATATGTCATGTATGTCCTATCTGTGAAATTTAAACGTTAGCAGTGTCCTCATATTCAAATTATGCAAGTAAACCCGTGCACTTGCTAGACTTCACTGTCAGACACTATTGAGTGACTGACTGGCTTTTTTCCTTCTTTGGTAATAACATACATGCAAAGAGTTGTAAAGGGTACATGAGCATTTGTCTTCATCAATAACCCACTTCTTGTGATGGCCAAGATTAAACTGATTGAATCTTTGCGCAGCATAAAACGTATGACCATTCGGTACAATTATTGTCTGAAAATCAAGACTATTACTTTTGGGCTCTATGGCCCTAAAGTCGATTTGACAACTAATATTCCTTATTTTCCCACTTGAAGACATTTTCAAGCCCCACCTTTTTTAGGGAAGTTCTAAATTAGTATTATCTTTCAAATGCAGTTGGAATTTAACTTTTTCATTTTTATGACCTGCAAATGGGACATAGTCCCTTTAAGGGTAAAATGTGAGATATTAATAGGAAAATCGTTCGGCGTTACATAATTACAGAATGGTCTGGGGTAGGAAGAGTATTCCAAAAACCATTGTCAATAAGGGTGGCGGAATAATTTGCCACTGACGAGTGGGTCTCGATATCAAAGGCAAAAACGAGGCAGTCAAAAATATTTCAAGAAATTCTTTAGAATGATGTATTGTTGTTATAATGCTTTAAACTATCAACATTAAAATCTCCCATTTTGAAAAACGTCTTTGTTTACAAAATTTGGATTCTTTAATAAATATGTAAGGTACACTAGGAATTCATTTGAATTAGAACTTGCAGGTCTATACACAATGCAGGCGCGGATCCAGGATTTTCCAATTAGGGGGGGGGGGGGGGGGAATTTGAAAATTGCGCAGACCGTTTTTTCTCAACATACTGACAAGGTCATATTAGAAGCACCATCAGGGGCGTACGCAGGGGGGAGGGGTTTGGGGGTTGAACCCCCCTTTGGTATTTTTATGTGTGTAAACCCCCCTAATCCCCCCTTTTTTTTGTTTTTTTCGTAATTATTAAACAAAAACAAAAAACAAAAAAAATATTCCCATGGCTGACCTAAAAAAGGTGACCTTACCCCCCCCCCCCCCCCCCCCCCCCCAACGAAGAAAATTTCAAATTTTCAAATTTCGAGACCAAAAAAAAAAGGGTCCTCTTAGCGCAGAAGCTTCACGTTTCATTAAATTATTAGAGAGAGAAGACGATTCATTGTACCATTCTCGACTCTTAATCCCTGTCTGAATTCAGTTGCTCAATCCTCTTATTGCCCCTACTGCCCCTGGCTACGCGTCTGCTTTAAAGGGAAAATGAAACAATCATGATTGTGATAGCACACAATTAGGATAGTAGAAATGAAAGAAAAAAAGAAAGATCTATTACACCAACCATGGTTACATCACGGCCGGGAGCGTCATATCACAGTTCTGTGTTATCGGGCGAGGGTCGGGGCGTAGCGACCGAGCGAGATTTTGCAATGTTGAATGCTGAAATTATGCATTCTAGAAAATGACTTATCCTAATATGTACGTTCTTTCCGCTATATTTCTTTCTAGCTATATTTCTAAATTTCCTGGGGAACGTGTCCCCTATCGGGCACTGGATCGCCGCCCCTGTCCATGATTACTACCAACATGAGTTCAAATACAAGCACAAGCGAGTTGGTATGACCTGAATCCAAATGAAGCGCAAAATAAGAGTTGTGAAGCGGCCCTATCGTTAATTTATAATTTGACTGTTGAGTATATATAGCTTCTATTTAAAAGACATCCAAAATATTGTGCCCTTTTCAAATTTTTTTTGTAGCGCAGGGGCTCTGAATCCGCGGCTCGAGATTTTGTGCGGCATGCCCGTCCCCCTCTATTCAATAACGTTTTCCAAGCCTTCTGGAATGACCCTAAATCTCCCGATTACAGTTTTTCCCTTATTCGTCGTTACTGTAGCGCCATTTCCTTGTCTTCGCCCTTTCTCTTCTCCTTTCTTTTCTCTTCTCTTTTTTTTCCTTCCTTTTTTTGTGCCGCCAATAGGGGGGGGGGGGGGCGGCCGTTTCGCCCCCCCCCCCTGGATTCGCCACTGCAATGCCCATGATTATACTTAGTATCGGGAATATTGATTTCGATAAAATTGACTCTAGTGTTTCGTTCATTGCATTAATTTAATTACGAATTGAATAGTCGTACTTGTATGTAAAACGAAAAATACGACACCTCCGCCGGGTCTGTTTTTCTATTATTAACAACAAGATCATAACCATCTAATGCAAATGGTAGGTTTTATTCACGGGTTATCTAATATTAACAGACATTCTTGTAACTGTTTATTTAGCTTTTAATGTTTAATGTGCAATAGAGAAAATGTGTCTTTAGCAAATTGCTTAATTAACGACGTTTTTAAATTGGGACTCGGTTTCATAAATTTTGTCATGATTAGGGTACAAAAGTCTAAAATTTATGTTGATGAGTTTCTATTATTTGCTACAAAATGGTTATACGCTACATCAGTTGAAGAATAATCGTTCGAGAGATTTGATAATGAAGGGTTAAATGAATTCTTAAAAAGGCCATCGTCCGATTTAAAAAAATAGAATGGCATGTCAGGTTTGTGGGCCATTGAAGTAAAGTTTTTAAAAAAAGAAGACATTTTTTGTTTTTGGGGTTCCCAATTTGTTTTTGTTATTAATTTTTTTAAAAAGGGGTAGGCCAGGGGCGGATCTAGCTTTTTGCTAAGGGGGGGGTTGACCAATAATGACGATGCGGAGCATCGTCCACGAGCCGCGAAGCGGCGAGCCGATTTTTTTGGGGGGTGTTTATTTGAACCCCGTAAGTGATGTTTTCCTGGCATCTATTAACACAATGGAGACCATAAAAAGCAGTGCATGATAACGTCTTTTTAAATCGAGTAACAGTTCAATACACAGTTATATCCAGAGTTATCATGTGTTTGGTTAAGTTACCAGATGAGTTGAATATCTTCTCACAATATTTGCACTTGAAAGGGTTTCTCTCCAGCGTGCGTTCTTTTTTCTTTCTTTTTTTCTTTTTTTTTTTTTTTTTTTTTGGGCCGCCCAAGGGGGGGGGGGGGGGGTTTAAACCAAATTCGTTTTTCATAAAACTCAATATTATTTTCATTCCCAAATATTTATTTTTCATCCCCAAAGACTTCAACAATCCCCCAATTTTTTTTTTTTAATGTGGGGATTTTGGGGATGAGAATCGGCAACGCTGGCCTAGCTTGTCACTTCGGCGGTGGCCCGTGTCCTCAAAAAAGCTGATGGGGGGGGGGGGGCGGGGGCAAGGGACTCTGTGACATTTGTTCGCCCAACCCCCCCCCCCCCCTCCCCCAAAAAGAAATAATAATAATAATAATAATAATAATAATAATAAATGAAATAAATACATAGAAATAGAATAAAATAAAATTACAAGTTTAAAAAAAAGATAAGATTTAAAAAAATGGTCCCCGGATTTTTTTGGGGGGGGTTACAACCCCCCCAACCCCCCCTCTAGATCCGCTTCTGTAGGCGTTCCTCCAAAATACACACATAAAAAAGTTAAAGGGGGGTTCAGCAACCCCCCCCCCCTTCCCCCACCCCCACCGTGTCGATGTGCCATATTAGTGCTCTTTTGTGGGGCATTATCCTCATTACTGTCATTTATGACTTAAGGGCGCCATATATAATCCCCTAGTTGATGAGCATATTAGCATACACATGCTTTAGCAGTCACGCAAAACAAACACTGGCAAATTATTATTTATTAAAATCTGAAAATGAATCCTATTATTTAGATCTAGATCTATTAGGAACAAATCATTGTCAAAGTAATTCCATAAATTGGGATAAAAAATATTCCAACTCTATGAGCGACAGTCACTGATCTCTACGGAAATAGAGATCAGTGGCGACAGTGTTTTACCTTTAAGGACACTCTATATTGTGATCGCTGAATATGTGGTCGCCAGATTCAATCAATGACTATATGCATAAATTGTTCTTTCCGTCTGTTCACATATGTAATCAAATAATAGCAATTAAAATTCACCTAAATTCATTAGTACATTGTCCATCATGGCGGAACACCGTGCAACTAAGAGGCGAATGAAACAACACCCCCATGGACACGGATCAAGGCCAAGGTATGTACTATATTTGTTTATTATACTTATATTTATAGTAACTGAGCCAGATATATTATATGCCCGACTCGCCTGGGCTGTGACAGTGTCAGTGAACAGGTGAAGCAGGCAAGGGTGAATTTCATCAACTTCACTGTAAGCGAAAACTGGCCCATCGTCATCGATACCATCAATATGCATCTGCACTGGATTCAGACGATGAATATTGAACAGTCAAGTTACTGTCTGACCTAATTTTACCCATTATATGGATGATAAATAAATACAATTGAGGATAATATATGGCAGATATCGACCGTCTAGTGGGTGATCGGTGTTGTGTGAATGCGGAAGTAATGGCAAACATTCGGTTTACGACTAGCTGAGCTAATTTTCTTTTAATGGTGTCTTCAAGTCGGCTTTATAAGGGGGAAAATTTATTGAAGAAGAGATTTGAAATTATCGACACTCTTTATTTTGTTATATTGCTTTCGTCCTCACATCAATGAATCTTAAGGGTCTACATATCGTTTATAATTTTAATCTTTTTGTAATACTCTCGTCATATCCCTCACATTTTTTCATCCTTTCACTTCTTCTGTCATCCTTTATTTATATAACTTTTTCTTTGGTTCTTCAACCATCCATTTCTTGAATTCCTTCTACTATAGGCTAACTTATTAATCGTATTTCTGACCCTGTCGTAGTTTTTCCTTTTTTTAAATAATGTTTGTCCTTTCATTCGCTTATTATTTTTGTATATAATTCCATCATTATTTGTTGATTTCCCCATCATCTTACGTTTTCCCAGTTCTGCCATTTTTGTTATCGTTCTTCTACATCTGTAATTCCTTTTCTCCCTACATTTCCCCCCTTCTTTCCTCTTTTCCTCTAGGCAAATATAATTTTTTATTTTCTGCAATTCACTGACTTTCTCATCTCAATATGTCAATTGCTAATTCTTCTGGTGCATTCTACCACATTTTCCATAAGGCCTATTGGCTATATACCCTGTTTCTGATTTCTCTCTTCTACCTTTTCTTAAAATTTGTTCTTTGTTTCCCACAATTCATCTTCTCTTTCTATATTTCCACCATTCCTTGTAATTTCCATCCAATTAAGTTTTATTCCTCACTTTGTTTCCAAGGTCTTTTAAAAATATTCTTTCTACATTTTATTATATCCTTTTATTTTCCTTCTCTTTTTCTGTCATGTAAATTGTACTTCTTGAATTTCTCCACTCCTTTTTTACTTTCCTTATCACTGTTACATGTGGCCAATGAATTCTTTAAATTACTTGTTTTGATATATATTTTCTTTCTATTCCTCTCTTGGTTGTTTCCCACAATATTCGTCTTCTCACTTCTTTTCATTTAATTTCATCAAATTCCCTTGGAGAATTAAAAAAAACATTTTACCGGATAAGTATGTATACTTTCTATTTCACAACTTTAAACCATGCCAAATGTATTATATTATTAATATCTGATTTCCTGTCATAATTACTGTTATGATGGAAATGAAAAATAAAACTGAAACTGAAACTCTAAAATCCACTTTGTCCATTTAGTATTTTTTCTATCATAAAAAAAAAATCGCAACTTAAAATTTCCCCAAGCACCCCTATTAGTCAGGGCTGTTAGGGCTATATAGGGGTCGTTTGGTGCAGATTCTTCTAAAAGCACCAAATTTGGCCCAGACGTAGCTTATACCATACTATTACGATTTCTGCAGGGCGCCAAGAAGGGCACCCTCTGTGACCGCCATATTGGTCAAATCCAAAATGGCCGCCATCTGAGTTAAAGGTCAAGCGTAGTTTCAAAAGGAAAAGGGCTAGTATTATAACAATTTATTTATTTCTGGGGTTTGGGGGGTCAGATAATCTGAATATAATGTTCTTTCATCAATTTGAGGTCTCCTTGGGGCTTTCATACTGGTCATATTGGTCAAATCCAAAATGGCCGCCATCTGAGTTACAGGTCAAGTGTAGTTATGGAAGGAAATGGGCTAGCATGTTAAAGGTTTATTTATTTGTGGGGTTTTCGGGGTAAGAGAATCTGATTATGATGTTCTTTCATCGATTTGAGATCTCCTCGGGGCTGCCATACTGGTCATATTGGTCAAATCCAAAATGGCCGCCATGTTTAGTTACAAGTCAAGTGTAGTTATGGAAGGAAATGGGCTAGTATGTTAAAAGTTTATCTATTTATGGGGTTTTCGGGGTCAGGGAATCTGATTATGATGTTCTTTCATCTATTTGAGGTATCCTTGCTGGTGCTATACTGGTCATAGTGGTCAAATCCAAAATGGCCGCCATCTCATAGTTACAGGTCAAGTGTACAGTGTGTCTCTAAAAAAAGTAAACCCAACTTCAACGGCAAATTTTCAGAAAACTATAAAATATTTACACATTTTTTATGGTTAGATAGTCCAATAAGTCCTCCGTCCAATGATACCACGTAGGTTATGTAACTCTCATGCATGACTGAGCATGATTCAACTTAGTGTGAAATCATCACTGTGGCAAGTTAGAATTGCACTGGAAGTTCATCAATCAAATGACATAGGAAATGTCTGATTTCTTACAAGCATAGCTTAGGGATGTGTACCCTCGACATGACCGCCATTCCTTTCCATGCAAAGCTCGCAACGCCTCCTCATGTCCCTGACGGCACGCCTGATCATTCCCTGATCTTGTCGTAATCGGTTCACTTCACCTGTTATCTGTTGCCTCAGCTCCTGAATTGTGGCCGGTGGGGTTTGGAACACTTTTCCTTTAAGATACCCCCAAAGAAAGAAATCGCATGGTGTCAGATCTGGTGAACGTGCAGGCCACTCAACTGGGAAATGAAGAGCAATGATGCGATTGCCAAAGAGTTCAGTCAAACGATTCCTCACAGCAATAAGTCTGTGGGCTGGGGCCCCATCCTGAGCCCACCAGGCCCTGCGGAATGCTCCACGTCGTTGTCGGGGGAAGATCTGTTCCATCTCAGGCACAATAAAATTGTTCAGCATGTCAAGGTACGCCCTGCCATTGATGTTGCCTTCAAAAAAGTAAGGTCCCACCAATGAACCATTGCCACAAAGACCAATCCAGACACTCACTTTCTCCCTGCTCATGTTCTTATTAAAAGCATATCCCGGTGGATGATGGAGTTCAGCATACTCGTGCTCATTGTTGGTGTTTACCATTCCATCCATGGAAAACGTTGCTTCATCCCCGATGGTAAAAAACTGGAGGAACTGTCGATCTCGGTTGCACCGGTTCACAAACCATTGTGAAAATTGAAGTCGTCTGGGAAAATCAGCTGGTAGAAGTTGGTGCTGAACATGAACATGATATGGATGGAGATGCAAATCCAGTCTTGCTATTCTGTTAAAAGTTGCGCGTGGTATTCCAGTATCATTTCTCCTGGTGCTTATGCGTGGGTTGGCTTGGATGGCCTCTCTTACCACTTGGATGTTTTCAGCATACCTCCCAGTTCGTCTGTGGCCAGAGTGTCCTTTATTCCTGTTCAAACTGGTTCCGTGATCAGCATACTTTCTCACATTGTACCAGATGGCTCTTTTTGTTGGAGGCTGCCTCTCGGGGAACTGCACCCGAAAAGCATCTTGAACTTCCACGAAACTTCTTGTTTCCTGGTATCGAGTTACCAGGAATACTCTCTGCTCAATTGTCAACTGTACCATGTTTGGAAAGCATGTGAAGTGTGCCTGTGTTAGGAACAACCTTTGCTGAAGTTGTTATGTAATCATAGGCCTAACATGTGACAAAAATTTAACTTCAAATAGGCCCTGAATGCATGACAATAGCAAGAAATAACTTGCCACAGTGATGATTTGACACCAGTTCACTAAGTTGAATCATGCTCAGTCATGCATGAGCGTCAGATAACCTAAGTGATATAATTGGACAGAGGACTTATTGGACTATCTAACCATGAAAAAATAATGTGTAAATATTTTATAGTTTTCTGAAAATTTGCCGTTGAAGTTGGGTTTACTTTTTTTAGAGACACACTGTATATACGAAAGGAAATGGGCTAGTTTGATAAAAGTTTATATATTTATGGGGTTTTCGGGGTCAGAGAAACTGATTATCATGTTCTTTCATCGATTTGAGATCTCCTCGGGGCTGCCATACTGGTCATATTGGTAAAAACCAAAATGGCTGCCGTCTGATAGTTATAGGTCAATAGTAGTTCCAAAAGGAAAAAGGCTAGAATGATAACATTTTATGTATTTGTGGGGTTTTCGGGGTCAGAGAATCTGATTATAATGTGTTTTTTTTATCGAGTTTATGTCACCAATCCTGTCCTACATGATAGGCTACAATGAAGTCCATTTTCTGGTTGAAGAAGATGAGGGAAGATGCGCCATTTCACACTTAAATTGAGTCGGTATAAATCTTGGCCTGCGCCCATACTTTTCATCACTATGTTCTACTAGTCATTGCTGTCAATGTTGTTGCTACATCCGCCCTCGCATTTGCAGAGCATCGTTTCACTGCTGACCCCGACGTGATCTAAACCCGACCAACCTACTGAATCGCAGACATCCTTCATCAAAACTGTTTCAATTTTTGTCTCCCTTTTCTTCATATTTCTACTCACGTCTTATCTTTGAACTGTCATCATGCCTACTGACGATCACACCCATTCTTCAACTTCTGAAACTTCTGCTTGCCCTATATCTGTCTCCAATGTTCAAATCAAGCTTCCTCCTTTTTGGCACAATGATCCTACTATTTGGCTTGTCCAAGTCCAGGCACAATTCATAACCTGAGGCATCACCCAACAGAAAACAAAGTTTATCTACGTCGTCGCCTTCTTGCAGCCGGAATATGCCAAGGAAATTTGGGACTTACTGATATCTCTTCCTCAAGAACAGCCCTACGTTAAACTGAAAGCCGAATCGATACAGAGGAACTCCACCTTTGAGCAAAAACGCCTTCATCGGGTGCTGATTTATGAGAAATTTGAGAGATCACAAACCCTCCCAGTTACTTCGCAAGTTAAAAA